TTGGTGGCGACCTTTTCCTCCTCCGGAGATTTTTTCTGTACTTTGTGGTTGGTGGAAGATGGCTTTTTGGAATGTGTGTGTGGGAGAATAAACATGATTAAAGTGTTTATTTTACTGATGTTTATATATATATATATATATATATATATATATAATATATATATATATATATATATATTATTTCTATTAATATGTCGGTCTTCGGTGATGGCATTACTTGCTTGATAAAACAACATACCTTCTGTCATTTTCATCACACTGGGATATGAATGGAAATATGATTCTGGTTGTGGTTATCCTTTTTTCACACTCTTGTCATTTCCTCTAGGTGGATCTTGGCGTTGGGAAACGATTTCAGGTAAATTGCGTAATCCTTAGATGTTTTCCTTTCCTCTCCGCCTCAACTCTTCGTATTGCCTGACGCCCTACTAGTGCTTTCGTCTTTGCTCTTCCTGTTTCCCTAAAGCATGCTCCTGTGCCAAATAATGCTTGGCAAAACAACGTAGTGTTATGAGTCGACCCTCTCTGTTCACTTTTTGTAATAGTGCATAACTGTGATTGTCGGTATAACCACTTTTTTGAAGAAAGAAATGATTGACGTAAAACATGTAAGAGCATGGAGTGCTGAACAGTGACAAAAATATTAATGCTAACAATAGAAGCTACCATACGTTAACACTTGCCATGTGATGTGTATTTACAGGTGTATAAAGAAAATGAGCTATACTACTACATCGACGGCTACGACACAACCAGAGCCAACTGGATGCGCTACGTCAACCCTGCGTACTCGTCGGAGGCGCAGAACCTCATCGCTTGCCAGTATAAGGTAGGTCGTCGTCGCCTTCTAAAACAGGAGGGATGGTTAATCGACGATACATAGACTAAAACCCGGCCTTATCAACATTGTATATATAGTTAACGACGGACATTTAAAGACATTGCTTAATCCCAATGTTCCTCTCTTCAACAGACAAACATTTATTTCTACACGATCAAGCCCATCTTGCCCAACCAGGAGCTCCTCGTGTGGTACTGCAAGGAGTTCGCCACGAGACTCAACTACCCGCTCACGGGCGAGCTAATGCTGCAGAAGATCCGTAAGTGTGGCCGCAGGGCGTTCTCGGGCGGGAGGGACTGTTATTGTAAGAACACTTTGCCCTCACTCTTTGTTCACTGACCAAAGAAAATAAACGCAGTGTCTTCTCCCGCAGGCCAGCAGGTCAACGAGGTGGAGGTGAAGCAGGAGCAGGACGCCACAGTGGAGACGAGCCCTTCGACGTCCCCCGTGGGCTCCACGTCCTCGAGCTCGCCCCCTGCCGCCTCTCCTACGCAGTTCGAAGCCGCGAACGGCCAGCTGACGCCCACGGAGGGCTCAGTGAGATCAGATGAGGGTTACCATAGCAACGGCTACCACGATGACTTCAACCTGCCGGAGGATTCATCGGATTCAGAGAATGATAATAACTACGTCCTCGACTTCAGGTAAGACGATGTTTACGTTACGTGTGAGGTCGTGTGAGAGGTGTGTTGATTTTGAGCTTGTTCTTCTCTCCGAATCCTGGACTCATTTAGATGATCTCTCTCGGCAGCAAGAAGAAGAGGAAGGACTCGCCGACGGAGGACGAGGAGGCGGAGCTCCGCAACGAATACAGGAAGGTCAAGATCAAGATGTCTCGCGCGTACCACTACCGCTCCAAGTCCACGGGCTCAGACTCCTCGGAGAAGGACAAGTCCGTGTCGCCTCCGCTGGAGCGTCAGCAGGCCCCAGCGGAGCCTGCGGTAGCGCCCAGCGCGGAGGCTCTCCCGCAGGCCCTCCCGCAGGTGGTCGTGAAGCCGCCCCCCACCCCGTCAGTGAAGAAGGAGGCGCACGCCTCACCCTCCACCCACAGGTCGCCCCCTTACCTCCCCCCATCCCACTACCCCGCCTTCAGCGACCAGGCCCCCAGGGTCGACTCGGTGATGGAGAAGGAGCAGCGCCCCGAGAGCACGCAGGAGATGCCCGAGCCGCCCCGGAGGTACTCCGTGCTGGACCAGGCGGGGCACCGCGCCTCGGAGCTGAGTCGTGGCCCGGAGGCGCCAAGGCCAGATACGCGCACAGCCCCAGTGTTGCCAGACTCCCGGATGCCAATGATGCCAGACACAAGGCTGCCCAGCGTGACCATCACCAAGCAGCAGGTGTCGCCAGACACTCGGCAGCCAAGCATGCCTGACACTCGCATGGGTCTGCCTGCAGGAGTCCGCCTGCCTCTCCCTCACGAGTCCCGCCTCGCCCCCAGCCGCCTGCCGCTGCCCTCCATGACGCGCCTGCCGGGCCTGCCGCCCTCCGTGGTCGCCATGCCCGCCCGGCCGCCGACCCTTCCGCCTCAGGACCCTCGCATCACGGTGGCGCCCGACACGCGCCTCCCCGTGCCGCCCGACACGCCCCACGCCGTCCAGCCCGACACCCGCCACCCGGGGCCTCAGGAGAGCCGCAGCTCGGGCCTGCCGGAGCCCCGACACCCCCCTCCTCAGGATGCACGCCACCCGGCGCCCCCCGACACAAGACTCCCCGTCCCTCCCGACACGCAGCTGGGTTCCTCTCGCCCCACGGGCTCGATCCTTGAGAACATCCTGCTGCGTCGTCTCGGAGGCAAGGACGAGGCGGACACGACGCACCCGCCCTCCAGCGTGCACCGCGACCTCAAGGAGCCGGTCCACATCGCCCTCCCGAGCGACGCCCACTACAAGCCTGACAGCGCCTCGGGCAACTCCGGTCCTTCGCAGGACTTCCCTTACAAGCGGGCCTACTACGGCTCCGACTCCAGCCAGCAGATCTCCCCCGATTCCTCGTCGGCGCACCCGAAGCCAGCCTCCGCCTGCTACACCTCGCCGCAGCCCAACACGCAAGTGTCGTATGCCGTCCAGCAGCCCGTCAACAGCGCCATATACCGAACGCCTGTGTCGCAAATGTTCTCCAACGCTCACTTCAACATGTACTCGTACAACGGCTATAACGGCACCAGCGGCAACGGGTTCCCCCCCGCGAGCCAGGCCTCCATGCCCATGGACCACCGCCTCACCATCTCCATCCCGACCACCGCGACGGGCCAGTCTCCGGCCTCCAGCAACTCGTCCCACTCCTCGCAGGGCTCGCCGTCGTCGCAGGGCTCGACCTCGCCCAACACGGGCAACAACAGGGGCTACCGCTCCCTCCCTTACCCCTTGCAGAAGAAGGATGGCAAAATGCACTACGAATGCAACGTCTGCTTCAAGACCTTCGGCCAGCTGTCTAATCTGAAGGTGCACCTCAGAACACACTCCGGGGAACGGCCCTTCAAGTGCAACGTGTGCATCAAGAGCTTCACGCAGCTGGCTCATCTGCAGAAGCACCATTTGGTTCACACCGGCGAGAAGCCGCACCAGTGCGACATCTGCAAGAAGAGGTTTAGCTCAACCTCGAATCTAAAAACTCACATGAGGCTACACTCGGGTCAGAAGCCCTACGCCTGCGACCTGTGCCCCGCCAAGTTCACTCAGTTCGTCCATCTCAAACTGCACAAGAGACTGCACACCAATGAGCGACCGTACACGTGTAACACATGCAACAAGAAGTACATCAGTGCGTCAGGTTTAAGGTAAGTGTCATTTTTTATCGATGCCTGTGTTATCGTGTGTTATATATTGATCAATAAAGAAATTGAATTGTGATCAGTGATAATGCGTAATATGTACTACAGTATTCTAATGTGTTCCTTCTCTTCCAGGACGCACTGGAAGACGACGAGTTGCAAGCCCTCCAGTCCCGAGGAGGAGCTGGCGGCTGAGCGGTCCCCGACAGGGTCGTCGTCGGGCTATGATTACTGTCCATCCATCGCCTCCGGTAAGTGGTTGGGCGAACGAGAAAGTGCATTGTGTGTGCTGGGGTATATGCTATGAAACAATGCCCATAGATTTTGCTACTTTAAAGATAACCCAAAAAATCCTATTGCTAATCATCTTACCCCCACCCCCACAGGGAGCAGCCTGGACACGATAGACAACAACAGTCTCGACGACATGTCCCACGCGTCCCCCCGCCACGACCCCCTGCACGACGGCGTGGACTACGACCCCAAGAGCCCCTCGTACATCATCCCAGACGACCTCATCAAACACTCACAAGAGGAATTCAAGAACTACAGCTCAGAAATCAAGTGCGAGACGGACACTAGACCCTCTGTGATTGAAACCTCGGCTCACCACGCGATCGAGTGCACGTAAAGAAAACCCTGTGATATCTTTAAAGAGAGTGCGAACTATTCCTCCTGTCGAGGAGAAGGATCAGTGTGGGTGAAATCTCATGGAAAACAATTGGCAATATTTGCCGTCTAGTGTGTGTGTCAAACTGAGGGTCTTGTCATTTACTCGTGACTATTTAGATTATATATATATATATATATTCGTGATGAGGGAACTGGCAAATGTGTATATTTTATTCTGATCTTAAGATATATTTTGTTGTGTGACTCGAGTGACGTGAAAGTGGGATAATAGTTTACAGTGTGATTAATAGAATTTCGTGACGTGATGACTGGCCACTTTACACAACCAATGACAAGACTTTGGTTCTTTTACTTTCATGAATGGGATTTTCAACCTTCGTCTGACTTCTCTCATTTCTTTAAGAATCAAAAGCATTCTACCTATCTAATCTTCCATATCCATTATCGGCATTATATTAATTAGATAGTTTGTTCTCCTCGATTTCAGGTGGCATTCATACCATTAAAATGATAATGAAAAACTTTCCAATGCATCATGGCAGTTCGATCAGTATGGCATACGTTAGCGTTTAACCACGTCGAGGTTCTCCAAAGGTAGACCACTTTGACGACTTCCAGACCAGCTGCTCAAGCTTATCTATTCGCCGTAACTCTTGTCAGCCTCGCAGAAGGTAGACACATGACAGTATTACGCATTGACGGACTGTTACGTGGATAGATGGACAGACATATCAATACTGACTGTAGGAGTTTAGACAGATGATTTATTTTAACCTACTGTTGGGACATTCTAAAACCAAATAATTGTGCAACCATTGACGTACTTTTACCGGTGGACTGTATGCAATCAGCCTTATTTCTGAGGCATATTTTATACATAAAATTGTTTGATAGATTTCTGACGAATAAGAGGACTGCGATTCCAATACGTGATATAGGTCGACTGACTATAGATTTCTTTTTCAATCCAAAAAAAAAGACAAAAGGACCAGTTGCATCGTAAATAAGTATTACTAAAGATTGGTTCACTGGCGACAATGAAAGACATTTCTTCTTCTTCTTGTAGAGAGACTGAACTTTTTCACCTTCTCTGAGACACTGCCATGATGCCGCAAGCACCTCCGTCTGAGCTCTGCCGTCCTTTTATCTCCTCTTGTGCTCAAATATCTCTCGTGACCTGACTTGCTTTGACCTTTTGATTCTTGTGGTTTCTCGGCCCGAGTCGCTCGACCCCTTAGATCACTGGCATGCCGCGATGCCGAGATCAGGGCAGCATGCTTGCCGCCACATGGACAGTCGCCATCTGACTCCTTGGCCTGTCCTTGGGCTGTTCTCGAGGATCACGTCTGCTGGTGAAGGGCGGTCTCGGGCGAACCGCTTTCTTATGGGCAAAACTAACCATTGGCTGTGCAATGCAAACACTTGACCAGACGCTATACAGTGTGGTTATATATATATATATACATATATATTATATATTATATATATATATATATATATATATATATATATAATATATATATATATATATTACATATACATATATATAAATGCAGATTTATTGTCTTAATTTTGGTTTATATTCATTACACCCGACAGACATGGTTAGAAGGCGCGGCATTGTCTCCAGCCTTTTTCAGAAAATGAAAGATATTTTCATACTTTTTGAATCTTATGTGTATAAAGTGTATAGTTCAAAACATGTATAAAATTGTATATAGACTTAATTTATTGTTATTTTTCCGTTAGGAAATCACTAATGACTGTGATTTTAGTAAAAAAAAGTACAGTACATGCTGATTCAGGAGTGGGCACTGTCTTTATGTATAGTATAACTTTATATTTGAATATATATTTCTTTATTCAATGAGTGACAGCACTGACTGTTTAATTGATTGAAATATCTTCTATAGTTTCTAGGAACTCACGTTCAGCTAAATTTGTCTCTGGACGTCCACCCACCGATCTTACTCCAAAGCAATCGGCCCCGAGCTTTCAAAAGGCACAAAATCCTTCCCTCCCCCCCCCCTCCCCCCTGCTTAAGAGTGTCACGCGTTCAATGTTCAACAGATTTCCGGGAAACCTAATCACAGAGACATTTTTAATGACAAGAAGAAAAAAAAATGTAAATGGATCTATGGAGGATACCGAGGAGAAACAGACAAAATAGGAAATACTTTTTTCAAAAGGAAAAGAAGATAAATTAATAATATTAATAATAATACGGACTTTCATGTCTTTCAGAGCTGCACGTTGAGTTTGAGTACAAAGCCCTATATGATACTGAACCCAGAATGCTGAAAATAAATCATTAAACTCTATTATGGTTCCTAGAAATGTATAACAGGCCTTTTGTGATGAGGGTAGTGTAATTCTTTTTAATTCTTTATTTCAGTTGAATGTTTGAAAAAGTATATATTCAGAAATTATTGTTGAATGATAAGCCACATTTGATCTCAGTTGTTAATTCTTTGAGAATTTACCATTGTTGTTTTATTTTGTTTATATAATCCATATTAATATCTTCTTGTGGCTAACCTGTCGCTTCCTTGACATATATATCTCCAGAAGGAATCAGATGAATATATATATATATATATATATATATATATATATATATATATATATATATATATATATATATATATATATATATATATATATAGTTTCTTGATACGTAGTTAACTTGGGTTCTCGAAAATATTTTTATCTCCTTAACATAAGACAGTGTGAAGCATATATTATAAGTTAGCGGATATTATTTATTTTTCTATATATATATATATATATATGCCTATCTCACCGTTCGACGTGTGCCTTGAGAAGACTGCTCATTACGTTGGCATTACGAAGTGCAAATAAAGGAAAACATTGCACAAACGCAGTATTAATAACATTATAATTCTCGAAGATGCATTGCAGAAATATTCCTTTGTGTACCTTAACTCCGGGCTATTTCATTTCATGAAATGTTCATGACTGTCATTTTCTCTCGATCAGATCAGTCTCGAAGTACTGCGCTGGATCATGCGTTGTGAAATAATATCATATTGATATTATGAGTTAGAAGGTGCCGGCATTGTGTTCCAGATCTTAAGTGTGGAACGTGGATATTGTATATCAAGAAATACTGAATAAATATATGAAGTTTTCCCGTGTTTATTGCTTATCCATATCACATATTATAAAAGCACTCAAAGTTAAGTTTAGTTGCTAGTAATTACAAGGATTATTTATATAACACTTTAAGCATTTTAAGCAGGGGAGCGTTTGAGCAAGATTTCTTGTCAATAGGCCAAGAACTGTAACGTTCCCTGCTTAAAACGCTTTCCAAGGCAGGCAGGCCCTGTTCAGTGATGCCAGACATGTGGAAGTGTCTTTCTATAAAGTACAAATCATAACAGTCATTGGAGAACATAGAAATGTCAAAGTAACACACAACATATGCATACTCGGGTTTTAAAAGCAATAGACAAGTATTCCCACCAACAATCTCGGAAAGTGATAACTAATGCATAAATCGAGAGTGGAGGTTATTCCATTGGTGGTTGGTAACAGTTTGAGCGCGCATTTCAAAACAACTGACAAGCTAGCGCCGCATCAAGATGACAGAGTAAATCTACCCAAACATCTTACCAAAGCGCAATATTTTCTCCTATACTCATATAAGGTGCCTCTAAAACAATGGCACACACTTCCGATGGGCAGTCCTTTTATTCTGACGCGTTATCAAAATAAATGAACATCCCTGAATTAAAATATAGGCCTACCCATTCCCATATATCCGATTTTATGAGGTTAAATATAACAAATCATCGAATACAATATCAACAGAAGAATGTTGCTAAAATTCCTCAGACTTTTTTCACTTGAAATATTCTTTATTTCATAGAATAGCAGATATATTCTCGATTTAGAGAGACGAGGAGTAACAGTCCAGTAAGAGGTAAATTGTTCGTCTTATAATGATTTATTATTTATAAGTGAAATACTTTTTATTCCCATAATCTCCATTATCTCCTTTCGTTTTCAGTTTATTTCAATTTCTTTGAATATGATTTCAAGAAAATTACAGAATCAGATACCATGAAAAAATTATTTATCTGATATTAAGTCGAGTTCCTGGCCAATGCCCACATTCGAAGGATTGTGACCAGTACGGTACGCGACCGACGCTGTTGCCATGGTGACGGTACACCGCTTGACTTAGCAAGCGTAAGTCTAGCCATCTACGGAGGTCGCTTGGGAAAGCAAGCGAAATGCTTGAGTTAGCAAGAAAAACGTTTGAGATTTCAGGCAAGAACTTTCCCTGCTTAAAACGCCTTTAGTTGACACAACTAAATCAAAAACAATTCCTGAAATCAAAATTCACAAAAGAGGAAAGAAACTACACACACACCACACGTTTTATGAAGGTAGTTCCATACATGTATAAATGTATGTACATACATATTTATTGAAATGAGCATGCATGTACGTGTGGTGCGTGGGCTGTCAGTCTCCTTTCAAAGTAATTGCTGGAGAGCATTTCGTTCACAAGTGAGAGAAAGAGGACTGCCTCTTTATCGCCTCTGCCTGCCCGTGGAACTCCTTCCTGAGGTGCGCGAGCCAGGTGTCCCTCACCTCTTGAGTGCGCGCGCGGAACTCAAAGACCTGGGGACCTCTTCCTCCCCCCCTTCTGACTTCTAGTCTGAAGTCCGTCGGATGAGAGCCCTTCAGGGGACCTAGGTTGACCTCGTCTAGCCTGATGTCGCACACGTATTCGTAGAAGGGCGCTCTCACCCTCGTCAGGATAATGAGTTTCTTGAACAGGAGTGCCCGGTAGAGTCCATCCCTTATGCCCTTGTGTGGTGTCGCCACTCGCAGCGTGTCGCAGCGGAGGACTTTCCCGCTCCTGAAGAAGTCGACTCGGCTGTTGACGATGGCCTCACTGAGGATGCGAGCCCTGGCGTCGGCGACCACGGTGTGCAGCCCGGCCACGATGGCCTCCGCCTGGCGTCCTCGCTCGGATAACCACGAGAGGTAGAAGACGAAGTGGCGGATGGGCGCCGTGACGGGGTCTGGCTGCTCGGCGGAGTCTGGCAAGTGGGCCACCTGGACGCTGGCGGCGAAGTATTCGCTGTATATCGCCAGGTGGACCATGATATCTTCAAAGCAAAGGAGTACTTTTGGCAGACTTTGTTGGCATGCCTTTTTAAACTTGGGGAGGATATTCCTATTATGGAGGCTCAGGACTCGTGTTAGGATACTTAAAATGAACCTCGGAAGTTCGCGGTTTTCTTGTGTAATCTGAGACAACTGTCTGACGTAATTTTCCTCGCGAACTACAAGGTTTTGTAGAGCCTCTTCGTTGAAAGTCTCCAATGGTCCAGGGGAGCCTGACTGCGTGTTCCTGGGAGCCATGGCCAGAGCAGCCTGGAGTTGGGGATACTCCGACGTGAGACTCAGAGGGAGAAGGTCAGCGGTTCGTGGTGTCACACTCAGACTCTTTCTCGAACTGCTTTTGTAGGATGGCACAAAATTTTGCAGTTTCTCTTCCCAAACGCTTCGAGCAGACGCGTTCCGAGGCCTAAACACGTGTCGGATGACCTGTTGTTTGTTGGTCGGTTTCACATAAAGGTTCAGCTCATTCTCGGACCCACTCTCTATGGACTCCATTTGACCAGGCCTGCAGTAAGTCATGAGCCTAAAGCAGGTGATGCTGGACAGAGTGAAGAGCAAGATGTGTTCAAATAAGACCAGCGTATATTTCTTCT